AGGTTGGTGGAAGTGCTACTGGTGGTGAAGAGCCAGAAGGCCTTGTTCCAGTGGGACTGCATCATGCCCTGGAACTGGCTGACTATCTCAGTCCACAGAACCTCCAGGTGTCAATACCTGGCCTTGCATTCCCACAAGTTTTCCCTCTGCTTGGAAAGCCTATGCTCATAGTCCTCAGTGAGGTGCTTCTATTGAGCCTCCTTCTTGGTCAGATCCAATTTGAAGTGAGACAACTATTTTGCCAACTCTTTCTCATGGTGGCTGCATAACTCCAACAGCTGCTTCCTACTGGGGCAGGATTGTCTGGGAAGGGAGGGGTGAGTAAAGGTCAGCCAGGCGCCCCTCGATGTGAGTGACATCAAGTTGGCCACACCCATCCAGTACTTGACCACCTAGCCACATCCACCCAGCCAGTAATTAGGCAGATCATATTAGTGGTCCACGGGATTTAAAATTATGAATTTAGTGGTCCCTGAAGTCCGAAATGTTGGTGACCTGTACTCTACCTCGATCTCCAGTTAGATTTAGAGTTTCCCATTTCCATTACAACTTAGTAATCACCTTTTCTTGCTCCATTCCCATCAGTGGTGGGTTGCAGGTGGTACACCCCGGTACGGAGCACCGGATAACATTCTGGTACGGTGCTCCAGAGGGCCCACCTGCCCACCTGAGCTCCTTACTAGTCTTTTAAGTCTTCGGCACTTCCACGCATGGTGCGTACAGCGCCTGTGCGACACTCCGCTGAGCAGCTGGAGCATTGTGGAGGCGCACAGAGGCGCTAAGATGCATGTGGGTGCTGCCGGGCCCGTTCCAACCGTACCGGTTGGAATGGGATCAGGAACACACCACTGATTCCCATATGCCTTTTAAATATTTCACATATTTCACAAAGGAAACTCTTCATCTTGGCCCCAATTGGCAAATTACAGTATCCCTTATGAAAATCCCACCTGTATATGTTAGAAGTTGAATTGATTTTACAAATACTGCTAGAATGCCCTCTATCCAATAAATGGAGGACAGAATCATAACACCAATTGTAAAAAAAATCTTAATTGCTCCTCTGAGCAGGAGATTGTCATTTTTCTCCTTGGCAATCAAACTTCAGCTAGTTCCAATAAGGTTGCTAAATTTTTAATAATTGCAATGGCTTGCATAAATAATCTGGCAGTTTCCCTACTCTGTTAATTGCTTCAGGCTTTTCTGTATAAGTTTTCTTTTATTTTTTAATGTTATATTGTTTTAATATATTTGGTATATTGGTATTGATATATCATCCTCTTTTAAATGCATGTCTTAGAACATAAACAAAAAACCCGAAATGATGTCAGGAATGTTACAGTACTCAGGACTACATTTTTTAAAACTGCTGGATGCAAAACACCTATACTCTGTTTGCATTAACGATGAAGAAATTATCTCCAATACTTTATTTATTTTATTTAGGGAATTTATTTTGCCACCTATTCACACATGGTGACTCAAGGTGCCTTACAGAATATAACTCAAGGCGGCTTACAGAGAGCATAAAAAACTATTATGCACCTATGATTTGTATAAATTGATCATAAATCTAGTAATAAAAATATGACTAATATCCTAGTCCTTGGGATAGTTGGTAGTTTTTTGTTATATATTGGCCAATGATGAATAATTCATAAATGAATCTTTTTCTTCCCGACATTGTTGTTGAACCCATTATGAGTTGAATAGCCTCTAAATGTTTAAAATAAAGAAAAGTTTTTTGCCTAAAAACTGAAACAAACAGGATCTGGGTGGACATAGTATAGAACAAAATCTTTAAATACCTTGTAATGAGATTCTACTCTATAAGTTCCAGGAAAGTCGCTACAAAATATATTTGTGTAAACATCTAAATCTTTTATGGCAATCAGGAGATTCTTGTTTTTTTTCCAGGAGAAGGGAGAAAGGTGTTTGATTTTAAACTTTTTGAGGCCCAAATCCTGATTTTTAAATGAGGTACAAGTTGTGCTGTCCTTTAACAAAAAAAACAACCTCTTAGAGGTCATTCAAATTAAGTTTTTCAGGTCCATCCTTTCTGCTTTCAAGCTTGAGACAGCATACAGTAAGGAAGATGTCCTTAATGGAAATATGCAAGCTTTGCTGCCAAGAGAACAAGGGGCAAAAACATATTTGAAGTCCAAGATGGCCAGATAACATTCAAAAGCACCACAGACATCTTTCTAATTCACTGAACTACAACAAGAGAGAGGAAATACACTGCAATCAAACTTGCGAGAGTCTTATTATTATAGCCAATCTCAATAAAAGTAGTGTTGTGTTACAGAGTTGATTTCATGGTCTGGCCTACTGAGTGGGGCTGACCGACAGAGTTGTCCGCAATTGGATATAGGGCTTGGAGGATAGTACTGCCATACTGGTTGAAACTATTTTTTCCTTCATTACCACTGATTCCAGTATTGTCTAAAGGTAAAGGTTCCCCTCACACATATGTGCTAGTCGTTCCTGACTCTAGGGGACGGTGCTCATCTCAGTTTCAAAACTGAAGAGCCGGTGCTGTTCAAAGATGTCCCCATGGTCATGTGGCTGGCATGACTAAATGCCAAAGGCACATGAAATGCTGTTACCTTCCCACCAAAGGTGGTTCCTATTTTCCTACTTGCTTTTTTACATACTTTTGAACTGCTAGATTGGCAGAAGCTGGGACAAGTAACGGGACTCACTTCATTACGTGGCACTAGGGATTTGAACCGCCAAACTGCTGACCTTTCTGATCAACAAGCTCAGTGACTTAGTCACTGAGCCACTGCGTACCTATAGCAGAGTCCACTAGTATGGGCTACATCAGCTGAAAACCAAATAATTTTTATTATATTAATGAAAGATAATTTTTTATCTCTTTCTGCTGACTCTGATCAGGCTAAAGTATTATTTATCAACAGCTGGGGGACATAGAACATCAACCTGAAATTGGTTTCTTACAGAGCTTTAGAATACTCATTACTAGGAATACATTGAAACCTATAAACTATTTAAGCACATTAATTTATTTTGGTTTAAGGAAAGTTTTCTTTTTCAGCCAGGCATAATGCCTTACCGTTTACCCTTTTTAAGTAGAGTACTGTACATTTAATAAAAACTATCTGAACATTTATACCAGGGTAATTCTATAATTCTATAGAGGATTTTACTGTACAGCATGTGTTTCTTTACTACAATTGTTATACTTGCAAAATGTATTTCGTATCTGTCTTCCAGTAATTTTTAAAGAGAACAGATGAGTTTTATATAATGCTCCCTAATCAAATATTAATCACGAGATAACAAGAATAACTAAATACATTGTGATTGCAATGAAAATGCAGCAGCAGCTAATTCCTTGGGCTACTACATAGTTTATATTTATTTTTTTATACAGTATTTTATTATTGCACTATTTTTCTAAGTGAATTGTGACACATTGGTCTTATTTTTCTGTTCTATGGTTCCAGATCAGACTGTTCTTTGATTGTATATAATACTATATAATTCTATATAATTTGTGGCTACATAATGCTAACTTTTCTTTAATGCTTCATTTATAGAAAGTTTTTCTTAAATAAGAATCTCCTGAAAAATAGTTTGATTTTTAATTCTTCAGTTATTCTGCAAAAACTATGCACTAATTTTTGAAATTAAAGTTATTGGTTCAGGAAAGAATCATGAACTATTTACTAAAACGTAACCTTGTTTCTGAGCTGAATGTTTTCTTAGGAGTAGGTCATAATTTCATTCTACAACATAGCTACCTCTGCTTAAATTACTGAAAACAGAATCAATAATTCTCTCTCCTTGGCCCTATCAACCTCCACTGACTGCTATTCCTTCTCTGGCAAAACACATTTCACCTTAAAGAAGAGAGATAGGCAAGAGGAAATCTGCAATTTAGATTGAACATTTTCACCTGCTGGCAAAAAATATACCGCATTACCATATAAAATGCTCTGAAGTATAAGACACACTTAGTTTTTGGGGAGGAAAACAAGAAAAAAATCTGCCTCCCAGCAATTTGCCTCCTTGCAGCAAACAGCAAACAGCTCATTTAGGTTTCAGCACAACCTGATTAGCACAAGTAGCTGATTGTTGGGTCCCCCAATGATAGCTGTTTCAGGCTGCAGGGATTACCATAGTATACTGCTGCCTCCATGTGCCCCATTTTCACCCTCTGCACCCTGTTTTCGGGCTCCGTGCGCCCCATTTTCCACCCATTCCAGGTAGAGGGAATCCAAATGGGCAGAAAATAGGTCTCACGTGGGAAGCAGAGGCCAAAAAAGGTGCGCGCAGAGACGGCAAAGGCTATGGCAATCCCTGCAACCTGAAACAGCTAATGATTGGGAGGTTGTCCAATCAACAATCAGCTGCTTGTGCTAATCAGGCTGTGGTGAAGCTGAAACTGAAACAGGCTGTTTGCTGCAAGGAGGCAGAGGCCAAAGGGTGGAGGAGGGTGGGTGGGCAGGGCTACATTCGGTGTATAAGACACACCCAAATTTTCACCCTCTTTTAGGGAGGAAAAAATGTGGCTTATACTCTGAAAAATACGGTACTTTTTTTTCAACATAACATGGGATTAGATTACTAACCTGGTATTTTCTGAAAGAAAATTATGTTCTTTGCATTATCTGAAAAATTTCAGGGCACTCTCATTTTCATTAGAGTTCTATATTACCTACTAATTAATAGTATCCTAACATGACAATACTTTGGTCTTGCGTAAAGTGGAATTATAGCAAAATAATACATTGCGTTTCTACACTGATTTCCAAAGAGTCTTTCTAGGAAAATATTCCAGATGTATAGAATGAACTGTCTATCTTCCCGCTTTTCACTAGAGATGCAATAAATTTTCTCAGTATGATATCAATAGGCTTATTGATTTACTTTGAAGATGATGTTTAGTGTTCCCTATCCAGCAAATAAAAAAATTAATAAGATTTTCCATGTATACATAGATAGAGTATATACCCTGTATATACACTCACCTGATATGTAAATTGTACTTCATTTGTGGATGTGCCGTATTGTCCATTTATATTAACCTGAATTTCACCTGTTTCTTCTATTGATCCATGCCCAACTTCACATACAATTCTGTTTATAAAAACATAAAAAGATTTAACAGTGCATATTACCAGCTAGTCCATTTTTGAACTACATGCATACAAGAACACAGATTCCTAAGCATAAAACCAAGAAATGTATGCGTGTGTGTGTGTGTGTGTATGTGTGTGTGTGCGTGTAATATATATAGTCTCATTATCCTAGGGCCATTATGATAAACAAGCAATAGTTATATCATTTATTTGAACAAGAGAAAACTCATTTTTTGTCAAAGTGCAGAACTCTTTCTTCAATGATATCACTGAAAATATCAGTTGATGAAGTAAACAGAAAACAACTTGTATTGCAGCCCCCAAATTATAAAAATAGATGGCTGTTATTGTCTAATATTTCAATTATACTTTCAAATATTATTATTTTAAGTGGAATAATAATTAAAACTATATTAACAGTTATTGTATATGTCAAATTCTGCATTATGTTTGTTATATTTAAATATAAGTTTATTTACTTATACTTTATTTTACATTCATGTAGTCATTGATACATAGACTTTGTTTTTACTTCTTTGTCAATGTTGTCAGAAATTACTTACTTGGTGGAAACAGAGTATAATTCTTTTCTAAATTGACATTCAGTGTCGGCTACCATTATTTCTTTGACATCCTCAGCTTTTACGCCCAAGTTAGATCCTCTTATTGTTAACAAAATTCCACCACTTAGAGGTCCATTCTTTGGTTCAATCTAAATGCATAGGAAACATTATTATTGCCACCTATATTATATAAAAGAATAGAATAATTAGGAGATCACATAAGCATATATGAAATGCCATGGTAGCAGTTGAATTAGCTTACAATAGTAGGTTCCCAAACTGACAGGAAAAACAAAAATAGATCCAGGATACTTGGATAACCAAAAATATTATAGGTTAAAAAAAAAGCCATTATCTTTGGCACTGTTGACATATTTTGATTAATCTTTGTAAGTGATAGGACACCTTCTCTATAAAAAAATCCTGATGATTATTTAGGTACTCTTAAGATTTTGTCTTCCAGATGTTTACTTACCAAATTTTTCAGAATAGAAAAAACATCTCCCCCCCCCTAAAAGAGGCTGAAAATTTGGGTGCGTCTTATACACTGAATGTAGCCCTGCCCACCCACTAGCCCCCTCTCTTTGGCCTTTTCCTCCCAGTAATTTACCTCCTTGCAGCAAACAGGGAAAATGGGCTTTGCGGAGGCAGCAATAGGCTACAGCAATCCCTGCAGCCTGAAACAGCTGATGATTGGGAGGCCCATGCTGAAATTGAAAGTAAAACTTGATGTTTGCTGCACGTGGCAAATTGCTGGGAGGCAGAGGCAGATTTTTTTTCTTGTGCTAATCAGACTGTTTGCTGCAAGGAGGTAAATTACTGGGAGGA